ATTTTCCTCCTAGCTTTATGCGCGGTTACTCCTAGAGCTGGCTCAGGACCAACGAGCTTGCTGGCTGATCCTGTTTTCGCCAGAGTGTCCGCCGTCTCATTGCCCCTTATCCCAGCGTGCCCCGGTACCCATATTAACGATACCGGATGCCTCGCTGCGAGGCAATCCAGAGCCTCCCTGCATTGCAATACAAGACTCGAAGTAATCTTACATGCACTTAGTGCTTTCATTGCAGCCTGGCTGTCGGATAAGATTGTTATTCTTCTCCTAGGCCCACCCTCCTCCAGAATGTGAGATACACAAGCCAGAATCGCAAAGATTTCCGCCTGGAAAATGGTGGTGTACTCACCGAGAGGCAGAGATAGCCTAGTTCTAGGTCCAGAGACCCCAGCACCTGAGCCCTCTTCGGTGACCGAGCCGTCCGTGTACCAGACCTGCCCGCTCACTTCGGAGAGTCCTCGGCTACCGGCGTCCCACTCCTCCCTCGTTGGGTACTCCACAATGAACTTGCGGTTGAAGCGATATTTAGGGGTAATACGATCACCCCTGCTTAGAAGGACGGGGTCCTCCCTATCTAATTCGACTAATATGGCAGTATGCCCCTTGACCGGATTCAAGAAAGCCCAGCTGCCCTGACTCCACAGTCGATGAGCGACTACTCTCGCTTCACCGCGGATCACCAGATCCAACGGTGGGAGATCCAACAGAGCTTCCATTGCACTCAATGGCGTTGTTCGCACTGCGCTTGTAATGCTAATACAGGCCAAACGCTGAATTTTATTGAGTTTGGCCTTAGTTGACTCAGTTCTAATGCAAGGCCACCAGACCAGGGAGCCGTACAAGAGAGATGGACGTACTATCGTCGTGTAGAGCCAGTATACCACTTTGGGTTTAAGCCCCCACCTTACACCGACAACACGTCTACAAGCCCACATCGAATTGCGAGCCTTGCTAACCTTGTGTTCCACATGCTCTCTCCAGTTCAGTTTGCAGTCCAGGATAATTCCCAGATATTTCACTGACTGGGACAAAACTAATCTAGTCCCAAAGAAGGTAGGCATGACCAGTCCGTCAAGCCTTCTTCTCCTAGTGAATAGGATCAGCTCGGTCTTTTCAGCATTAACAGAAAGATCGACTTCCCTACACCACGATTCCACGGAGCGCAGAGCGCCCTGCATAATTTCCGAGACTGTTCTACAGAAACGCCCCCTAACCACTATGCTTACGTCATCAGCATAGGCTTGCACGTAGACACCCATACTGTTGAGCCTAACGAGCAGTTCGTTCACCACGATACACCACAGTAGGGGTGACAGAACTCCACCCTGAGGGCAGCCTCTAGCTACGTTCACGCTGCAGCTTACGTTATTCAGCATAGCTGTTGTTACCCGACCCTCCAGAGTAGAGAGGACCCAATCTATTAGGATTGATCCAACCCCGTGTCTAACCAAGGCCTGTCTGATAGAGTCGGTTGTGGTGCAATTAAATGCACCTTCAATATCTAAGAAGGCCACGAGTGCCACTTCTCGCTGATCTAGAGTCTTCTCCAGCCTCCCAACCAGATTGTGTAAGGCCAGATCAGTCGATTTTCCAGCTTGGTATGCAAACTGATTTGCATGAATGACACACCTTTCCAGTGGGCCATCCCTTAGGTATCTATCAACTATCCTTTCCAGGGTCTTAAGCACAAAAGATGAAAGAGTAATCGGTCGAAAATCCTTCGGGCCAGTATATCTATCTCTGCCCGGTTTAGGAATGAATACCACTTTAGCCTGCCGCCAACTTCTAGGTGTGAAGCCCGTGGCCACACATGCTCGAAACACATTCAACAGGTAAGGAACAACCGAAATCCGTCCCTGCTGTAACATGGCCGGAAATACGCCGTCCAGACCTGGACTTTTGTATGGGGCAAACGAATCTACTGCCCATACCGTCCTTTCGAAGGTGACAATCTCCCTTGCCGTGCGCCAGTCCTCCCTTGAGGGCCTGCGCAACTGCATGCACTCTGTGATTGATCGCGCTACTGTGGAACCGGGAAAGTGCGTATCCATCAGAAGCCTCAGAGTATCTTCCTCGGAAGTAGTGTTCCCTCCCGAGGGATCATGCAGAGATCCCAATCTTGCTTTAGTGTCTTTGCATAGGACTCTGTGTATTCTTGCAGTAGCAGGAATGTCATTTATGGACTGACAGAAGTGCCTCCAGGATTCTCTGGAGGCCCTTCTAATCTCCTTTTTGTACTCCTGCAATGCCTTTTTGTATTCTTCCCATAGAGGAGAACCTCTCCTGTGCTTAACTCTGCTAAGAAGTTTGTGCACCGCTCGTTTTCTATCCTCTAAATCTTTGGTCCAGAAGGTTGCCTTGCCCTTACCTTGTACTTTGCGTAACGGGCAGTTTTCCTCATATGCGGCCGTCAAGTCCCTGCTCAGAGACTCGACAGCTGCTTCTATGTCAGAGCCCCTGCCAAGCCTGTATGGGACCGCTCCAAGCTTACTGTCAATGTCTGCCCTAAAGGACTCCCATCTAGTATGCCTGGGATTCCGAGCATATTTATCCGGAATCTCTCCATCAGTCTTGAACAGTATAAACCTGTGATCCGATAGAGAGGGTGTTAGAGACACTTTCCAGTCCCTGATGTCCTGAGCTAAGTTAAGCGTGCTCAGTGACAAGATGTGGCACGCGGGCCTCCTCTATAAACTAATCTGAAGGGGCTTTCCTTTTTGGCTTTTAAAATTACTGAAATCCTTTCTTGAAGGAAGGAAATTTCAGATCAAAATTAACAATGACGAATTGGTTAAGGCTTTCGCGGCCAGTTGATAAGCTGCTGTCTTGATTCGGGTCTAAAGGCCGTCGTAAGTTGGAATTTCTTCCTAACGTTTCGCTAGAACGAGTGGCAAGCTCCTTCAGAGGTGCCTCCATTTCCGATGCTGGATAGGACCGACGATTTCTCTTGCGTAGGTTGTATTTATACCGGAGGGTAGGGGACGTGGCTTGTTCCGCTTCGGTTGACTCCGGGATGTCGATCGGCACTGCTCGGATGTTTCTGAGGATCGGGTGCCAGATCGGGTTTAGTCTGAGGGTCTCTTCCTTCCTGTTGAAGTTATCTGGATGTTTGTGAATCTCGATAGCTGCCCTGACCAGACTGTTGTGTATATAATGATTATTAGAAAAGCCATTACTTATGCATGTGCGGCTTGGTGTTTTCTTGCCAAGACACACATGCAAAGTCTTCAAGTACTGCAAAGCAGAACCTTGCGGACAATTTGCAACGCTCCATGGTATGTCTCAAATGAGACACTACACAGAGACCTTGACATTTCTTACTTGAGGGATTATGTCAAGCTTCAGGCGCGGCGACGTTATAGTCACGCGGAATCGCACAGCAACCCTCTGTTGCGTGACTCAGTGGACTACACAGTGGAGCAAGTTCGTAAACATTCAAGGCCACGGCTCGCACTGTAATCAAAAGTTAGCGCGAATTTTTAGTAAACTCAAAATTACACTCTAACAAAACCGAATCAAAAATTTGTTTAGTTCACCTCAAAATTAATCCGTGTCCCAAGTCAAAAAGCCTAGGTGTTTCATCTTAAACTAAGCACATTTGATTTCTTTGCTCTTCTCCTTTTGTCTTCTCTTTCCCTTTCTCTTTTTCCTTGACTTTGCCTGGTTTTTGGCCAGCCAGAACTGACAGATTCGATTAACGTAGATTAGACAGTGACTAATGGGCAAAGGTCCTACGGACCGCCCAGGCAAACAAATAACGAAAAGTAGGTTATCGTTTCATGCTTCATAACAATGTTTTTATGGATTAAAATTTTTCAAAATGGTATCCATCAAATATTTCTTTAGAGACGGTAGGAAGTTTATCTGGATTGACACTACAGATATGAAGTTTTAATAAAAGGCTCATTTTATCAGACTGCTCGATCCAACATAACAGAAACGTTGCTACTTAGCGTGATTTGCACATTATTTGAGCGTTGACCGCGATATAAAGAAACACCTGCGAGATTACCCGTTGTTCTTTTTGTAAATTCTTTATCATTTTTTTTAATTGTAGGAGCTCCATGTTTGAATTTTTCAAAGCTTGTGATTCACTACTAAACCTACTTTTTCCTTGTACTGTCTGATGGATAAATATACTTTAAAGTACTCCTTCTTTCCTTCATTTATTGAATTTGACAGAAGTTGTTTTTACAATGTCATCTCAGTATTTAAGAAAGCATGATAATGATTTTAATTTTTGGATATTAGTATTTTTTGATGTATCCAACTATTTCTGGAAAGCCCATTCAATTTGTTGTATTCTTTATAAAGTTGCTACCAAATCCCAAAAGTCATATTAATCTGTAAATTACCAGCTGATCAATACGCATAATCCCGGATCGTTTTTCTTAAAAAAACGATGATGAATCCAATAATTCCATATTGCAGTTGACGGTGAATTATATAGCGTGTTTCAGAGAAGCGTACACAATATTTAAACGGTAGAAAGTACATCCAAACATACAAAAAAAGTATGTTTAGCATGGATCCTATAAGGTCCCATTACCAAGATTTTATACTGATTTTTACCTCAAAAACTGTTACCAACTTTTCTTCAAAAAGAGTAGTCTGAACATTTCTCAACAAGACAAATTATGTTTAATTAAATACCTTATTAAAAAATGCAACAGGTTTTTACAAAAAAGTCAGTGGCGTATAAAATCATTTCTTTTTCTTGTGTAGAGATAAAGGCACGAAATTTTATTTGTATGAATTGGCTATGAGACCAGTACTACATGTAGAATTTTAAGTCAATATCTTGTCCCACTCCAAAGATATAATTTGTTTCAATTTCAAAATTATAATTATGAATTTTTACATGAACTTTTCGGGTTTTTTTTTAACTACTTCACGCCCCAGAAATATTTCCACGTTTTTCTTAAGCACCCTGTGTAAAGTACCTTATTGGCAAAATTATTGAAAGACCTACTTAAAAGCTACTAAAAAATGAGACCTACCTGTCAGAACGGCAATGAGCTGCGGCAAGGTCCCGTGAAACATCTGCAGCGCCGACTTTTCCCGCATGTTGTTACGCGGCAAAACAAATGCTATCTATGGCAAAAACCGGCCGACTGCGATGCCACCGGCGTCGTCTCGTCGCCACAAATGATCGTCGTTTGTTTTCAACCCGATAAAATTAGATTGAATTAAAAGGGAAGATGACTGGTCCAAGTGTGCCACTTAACCACGTCACTGCTGCGATTGCCAGCTGTTTTCTGGTGACAGCAGAGCCCGCCGACGTCTAGACAGCTTTGCCTTCTTACCACTTGTGGATTAATTTACCTGGAAAAAGTACCATTATTATATGGACAGGTATGCGGCTATTAAGTGAAATAAGTATCAGAGGAGACACCTCAGTTAAAGTCCCATCATCAGACTAAGGAGGCGGTCGGAGCTTGTGACGTATCTACCATTTTTACAACTTTTGGCTGCCTTTATGAGTTGTATGAGGATTAAACGATAAGTGAGTTCAAGGTATGTACATCTCTTGAAGAAGCTAACGGATAACCAGAAGGTGCACAGGTTAAAGAGAAGCCTTTTATAGCCGGGGTAACTTGTTTCAACTTTTGATTTTATTATGAGCGCAGTAGAGCAACACTTTCATTTTATATAAGTGACAAAAAAAGTAATAATGCATTTATCACAAAAAGATTATTGTATACATGTCTCTTAGGGGTAAGTAATCGATCAAAATTTCATAAATTGATAATTCACGATGTCTTATGCACTCAGAAACAGGTCTGAGCATACTCCTAATCAGATGATCGAGTTCCTCTTGAGGTATCTCGTCCCAGGGCTACTTCTGCTTTGTGCCGAGGTTCTGCTGGGATCTGTGGAGGATTGGATAAACGAAGTAATATCTATTCTTCCCATAATGTTCCAAACGTGTTCAATGGATGGAATATTAAGAGATTTAGGGCCAAGCTAACCAATCGACTTGATTTACTTGAAAACGGATCAACGTAATTCTGCCTATAAGTGGATTTGTGACCGTCTGTACGTAAGGCAAAGCTTCTACAAACAATAACCCCGATACCATAATTCCTGCAGTGCATATGTGTTTCCATAGAAAATTGAGAAGCTCGTCCTTCAACTCGTGGCCGTCTCATCCTTGTAGCCATCAGGCACTCCCAAATAGAATCTGGATTCATCACTGGAGACAATGGTATACCATTCGAGGTGCCAGTTCAGCCGTTCTCTACACCAAGCGAGTCGATCACTTCGATGCCTAGGAGGAATGAGGGGTTGGACAGTATGAAGTGAGTACAAAACTGTTGATCCGGCGACAAAACAATTCGCATTGTGATAGAACCAAAAGTCTAATTCGGAGATCTGGGGGCCCTTTTTCTTACACGCACTATACCTCTAACTCTTCATGTACCGCCCGACTACACACCACCACCATATTTGGACCAACCAGCCTCACACAAGCGTATTCATACCCTATCAGCTGAAGCTTCAAAGCATAACTGTCGCTAACTTGCTTTTCTGTAAGAAGACACAATCTCACAAAAACCGCTTTACCGATATGGTTGAAAAGCAGATGGTTTTTTGTCGTAACCTAAACAAACATATTACCTAGAAAATCTTTTTAACAAATTCATTATTACTGGGAATTATTTTTTCTATATCGGTTAATATAGAGTTTTTTCTGAAAAACCGGCTTATACTCAGTTAGTCCCCCGCCATTTCTACAAATATCAACTTTTTTGGACCGGGTTTGTCTTAAAACACTCGGAATACAGCATTTCATCTCATCAATTATTATTTCTCCTTAAGATGGGAAAAATCCACATAGAAGTCATGTCAATAACACCCCGAAGAAAAAATTATTGGATTTAGGTTCAACGATCTTGGTCGCAATGAAGTGAGGCCGCACAGCCTGATCCACCTTCATGAATGTTGCATGTTTGTAATTGAAGTGGTCTCGATCTGACCGAATATGATGTGAGTATTATTATCAGTAAGTTGCTGTAGATCCACATAAGAATATTTTTGCGAGCAGTTGCGACCTGGGCTAGACGTCTCGTGCATATTTTAAGAATACTTTTAGGCAGCAGCGGTGGCCGCAGTAGTAGACTCTTCGGTCTCCTGATCAGTCGCCGTGTGCTGTGCGGGTTCGAGTCCCGTCCCAGGAGAAATTTTTCTCTTGGCTGTAGATGTTGTGGTTGTCCGTAGGTGGTAGACGGTCTCTGACTGTCGAACGCGCAGGTACCACCCGGCCGATCTCGTAGGCGGAGCCAGAATGTGTGCATGTTGCATACACACGTGTTCCCTCCCCAGAGTCCGTGTGGCGTTCCCCCTTTAACCTGTATCCCCCATAGCCCCACGGTTCCCAATGTGTTTAGGCTGTAGGCCTTCGTGGCAGTTGGAGTATAAAAAAAAGAAAAAAAAACATCTAGAGGCCTAGTGTCAAACAAACTCAAATGTACGCTAGAAGAAACAGATTTGACAAGTTGTTCCTAAGTTTTGTATTTTTTTTAGTCAATAGTGGTTCAGTGTCTCTTATTGTAGTCTAATCATATTAGCAAATTTGCCCAAAATAATTGTAAAGTCTGATTTTATTGGTGCAAGTTGTTCAAGGAGGTATGTAAACCATGGACGCATAAAATGCGTACACCAATTTTTGTGATAAAACTTTTTATTTGATAACAAAGGATGAGAATACGCGTTTTGTGGGTTCAATCTAAAGTATTGACAGGGACTAAAACACCTTTTATATAAATAATTACCAACAAGTAGGCAGCAGCGGTGGCCGCAGTAGTAGACTCTTCGGTCTCCTGATCAGTCGCCGTGCGCTGTGCGGGTTCGAGTCCCGTCCTAGGAGACATTTTTCTCTTGGCTATGGATGTTGTGATTATCCGTAGGTGGTAGATGGTCTCTGACTATCGAACGCGAAGGTACCACCCGGCGGTTCTCGTAGGCGGAGCCAGAATGTGTGCATGTTGCATGCACACGTGTTCCCTCGCCAGAGTCCGTGTGGCGTCCCCCCTTTCCCATGTATCCCCCTATAGCCCGACGGTACCCAATGGGTGCTTAGGCCTTAGGCCTTCGTGGTAGTTGGAGTATAAAAAAAAAAGTGCCAAGACCTGCAGTTTGCCTCGGTTTTCAGCCATAACTTTTTTGCTATTTTCGGATCTTTTTACGTGTCATCTCATTTTGTAGATCTCATAAATACCTGAAAATCTTATATGGAGAGTTTTTTCGTTTCTGCCAACACTTACGATTAAATCCCAAAAAACACGTTTTCTCGTTCTTTGTTCTCGAATAGAAAGTTTTCCCACAAAAATTGGTGTATCCATTTTATGCGTCCATGTTTTGAATACCCCTTAAACAACTTGCAGCAATAAAACCAGACTTTACAATTATTTCGCAAACCAGGGGTATTTTCGTCTAATATGATTAGACTATTATGTATATTTTGCGTTTTATGGTTGTTTTCGCATTTGGTTTTTATTAGTTTTATAGTTTTTGTGCATTGAGAGGTGGTTGTTTCATTATGACCAGATACGGGTACACGCAAAGCGAGTACGCAGATATGCATCTCATTTACGGGGAATTCCAGTTCATCGCTATAAAAGGTGATCATTACATTAATCTCTTAATTGTATATTATCCTTTAACATCAATCCTGTCATTTTTTGTATCCATGCCATAAATTGTTATTTTCTGATATCTACGAAAACTGACGACGCTCGTCCATTATGACTGCAATAAAACGAAAAAAAAACAGAAAAACAGCAGAGAGCGGATAACAATAATACCATTTAAAAATGGCCAACTTTTTCGACTAATTGGAACAGTGATCGTACTTAATCCTACAGAATGCCAAAGTCAGACGAAATTTAAAGCTGGACGATATGAAATGATTAATTATGAGTGCTTTAAAACAAACCTGGTCCAAAAGTGGATATTTGTAAAATTGTAAAACTTCTAATAAAACAAAAGTTTACCATAAAGTAGGCATAAAGTGACCTATCTACAGTTGCAGGATTATCGTTCAAGTTCGGGACACCCTGTATACCTGTATGCTTAGTGTCTTACTGTGTCTTACGATAGATATGAAGTAGAAAGTGTTGCGGCCATGCGAAGATATAAAAAATTGAATATTCGATAGTGGGTGGACACAAATGCCAAAACTGTGAATCTGGTCTTTTCCAAAAACAACCAAGTATTAAAATAAAAAGAAAAACGTTAATCAAAGATTAAGATACATATGTTCTAAAATATATAATTACAAAATTTTCATAGATGCGATCAACTTGAGCCTGGTTATAGACTCAAATCCTCTTTTCCTATTTTTCCGGAACATGGTCGTATTTGAAGCTAGTAGAAACTTACCAGCTGTACTTGGTTCCGGAAAGCTATTAGTGTTTGTGGAGAGTAACGTAATAGGTCACTTTTCTTCCCAGCACATCTCACACATGTATGTTTATTGGGCGCAGCAACGTCTCGAGATTTTGAAGGCCAAGAAACGAGGGTGACTTGAGCGTTGTAGTCATATAGATACGCGCATTATCTTGATAGAAAAAAAGGGTCTTCAAGCATTTGGAGGCTGGGCGAGCCTCCAATCCAAGAAATACTAAAATCTCTCACAATTTCTTCAAACCCTTGAGGAGCCTATTTTCCGACAAGATAATTGCCATCCCCATATTGCTAGAACTACAGGGTGACTTTGAAGTTGAGTCATTAATTTTCAGATAATGATTGTAGAAGGAAGATAAACCAAAATATATGTGTAAAAATAAAATAAAAATTAAAAAAAAATGTTACCTTGTTTTATAAAGTATCCTCCCGACAAGTACTTCAGTGCGGACCTGTATTTGATCGTGCGGTCTTGGAGCACCGGCATGCCCTCCCCTGTGAGATCTTAAGTCACCTGATTCACGAGCCCTTTGTACTGCATTAACAAAGGCCTAGGGGTTGGTTGCACTCGATTGGGAAACCGATCCGCATAAATCCGTGATACCGCGGCAGCATTTTGTTATTAAGAATCATGTCCACAAGTTCAGCATTTTCGTAAACATGTGCCATTTTTTATTTCGTTTGAGCCACGCAACGAACACCACTCACGCGTTACCGACTGACACATTGACTGAATACAACTGAATAAAATTGTAGTAAAAACATCGTGATAAGCGTTTCAAATTCTTTTGCTTTTTTGTTTCCGATGCGATGAACCGATAAGGTGGATTATATCCGTTGCTGCCAAACACGAGCACATAATATTATTGAGACAGGGCGGTACTCAAACTTCTAAAGGGCTATAACTTTGTTACTTTAATTTTACCACAAAAGGAAAAAAACATTTCTTTTTATCAGATCTACTCACCGTTAAAATAAATGACTCAACTTCGAAGTCACCCTGTATATGAGGCCACCCTA